TAGTTGAGGTGGGGGCCGGCCATGGCGGCGTAGCGGCCGTCGCGGCGGAACCCCGTCAGCCGGCCGTACACGAGGCGCGGGTTGATGCCGAGGAGGACCGGGGGCCCGAGGCCGAGCTTCTCCAGGACGCCGGGGCGGAAGGGGTCGATGAGGACGTCGGCGCCGCGCGCGACGAGCTCCTTGATGAAGGCTGTGCCGGAGGGGGACTTGAGGTCGACCGAGATGGAGGCCTTGTGGCGCGTGAGCGCGTCGGCGGTGGGGAGGGAGCGGGCGTCGGAGGCGCGGTCGACGCGGATGACGGAGGCGCCTGCGTCGGCGAGGAGCATGCCTGCGAAGGGCCCGGGTGCCAGGCCGGCGAATTCGAGGACGGTGATGCCCGTCAGGGGCGGAGGGCCGATTTCCGCCATGTTGGGGGGTTGGTGTTGAGGCTTTGGGAGAGCTGAGATTGGACGGGGGCGCTTGGATGTGCCGTTGTTTAAAGGCCAACGAGCGGATGGTTCAGGGCATTGTATGGATTTGGGAGCGCATTTGTTCTTATTTGGTAATGGTGGTGAAGCTTGAATGACGTTGGCGGCACGGGCTGCAATTCAGCCGAGGCTCCGATCGTGGCGGGAACCGAATCGCGGAGGCGGAGGCGGGGGTGGAGCTGCGTGATGGCGGGGGCGACCAGCAAACGCCATTATACCGAGTCGAAGCGACCGACGACGAGGTTCACACAGGAGAGATGGAGACCAGGATCGTTAAGGTGGCGGCAGAGAGGCGGCAATCTCCTTTGAGGGTCGCTTCAAGCCAGCGCTGCTGCTGCGACCGTTTACAAGAAACACTAGACCCCCCTTATTCTTGACGGCTATATTAAACCACCTTGTTGATAATTTTTTTACTTTCTAACATTCAGCGCTTCCTGAACTTTTACTTTACTCTTTAACACCGCGAACGAGAATAGCGCTATAGTCTTGGTTACTTCTTACAGCGGTTTACCCTCTTTATCCTAGTTTAAGTATTACCACAAGGTCTTGGTAATAAATACCCTTTACATGTCATCTTCAAGATAATCATCTAAATAGTTATCACTTGATATAATAAATAAACGATATTATACCCGCTTATGTTCTCATTAATAATTATTTTATTATTTTATTTAATCTAAATATTTATTTCTGGTCGCTAAATAATATTATAATAGGGTCAAACCCAAGTATCTCCTCGCTTATCCGCAGAAACCCTAGAATTGTGATGACAAACTATAGCCCAGCGTCCTCCCTGTTAATGTCAAATTGTTCACCCCACTCAAGCCTGTCCAATTGTCATACCCTTGAATTTGACCGGCCATAATCAACAAGCTGGGCATTGTGACTTGCGTGCCCCGAAATTGACTGGGACGGTCAAGCGACGGAGGTATTAGGTTAACGAATGCCAAACCTTTCATACCGGTTTATTTTGAGCCACAAAGCTTCATCACTGTCCATGATGGAGCGTTCCATGCAAGTCGGGTGTGTACGATCAGGGTTCAAGGTTTCCCGGCCGAGCCAGAGCAAATCGGTTATATAGCTCTTGTCATGAACGTCTGGCCCAATGATTCAGGCCAAGACAAAGAAAATGCAAGGCAGCTGGAATGGTCTCCTGAAGAAGCTGCATGCTACAGGCCATGCCTGGGCATTCTGCCGCGGGATGTGTTGCGATCGAGGTCGGATCGAGGTCGACAGCTGTGCACGGTTGCTTAGGTAAGGTGGCACGCACAATGGGTTGCGACGCGTCTCACTACCTGGCACCTAGTAGTCTTCCTCCTGCATCTCCTCACGTCTACTCCGTGCAAAAATGGCTATCCAATTTTGTGGCCCATGTGGAAATACTCTTGATATCTCTCCGAATCCAATCATTGAGTGCGATTGTTGCGGATCGATAAACAAGAGTATGCTAGTCGCCTCCGCTTCAGTTCTCGTGGTGTACTAATGGGTCTGCCTAGACAAATTACTCGAAACGGCAACGGCCTCATCGACCAACGACTTCCCTTCCGAACTTCGTCGCAAACGAGGAACGACACAGCAAGTACAGCCCATGTCAGCTACCGACACTTGGTCCACAACAGCGGAAACATGCCGAAAGTGTGGCGCCAAGGAAGTCCGATATACGTCGCTGCAATTAAGAAGCGCTGATGAGGGAACGACGTTGTTCTACTTTTGTCCGCAATGCTCAGAAAGGTTTGTTTAGCTCTTTGCCTCTAGTTGCAGTCACTCACAAAGGTATAGGTGGAATGAAGATAATTAAGCTGCAGACCTAGAGATGTGCGAGCATTGTGTGGCCAGCTTTTCGTCTAGCGGCTGTCTCTAGTGATGATTTGACAAGGCTACCGGCCGTGCAACAAAGCTGCGCTGCTATCCACTGGCTTTATTATCTGCTGGTAACCTTGGACCTTGGCTCACTACCTGTACGAATTGAAATGTGCGTGGCAGGACAATGTCAATTGCAAAGCGAAATACGAGAATCCTAGCACTCGTCGCCTTGTGTTGAAGCTAGACGAATGAGTGTGTACAAGAAGACATGACCAACACGTGTCAGGTAAAATCACTTCTTTGCCTTCTCTGCCTCTTCCTTCATCCTGGCTTGACATCTGTGGCAATAACCACTTATCTTCCACGGAACGTTACCCTCAGTGCTGCAAAGATATAAACCCTCATCTAACTTGGGAATGCAATCAATCCTCTCCATTGTTTCGTACTTGTGTCCACATGTGTCGAAAACAAGTTCCTTGTACTGGCACATGTTGTCTGTCCCGAAGGCGTCAAGTAAGCAAAGTGGATTGACAAGAGGTGCAGATGGGATGCTGACCTGCGGGGGAATATTAAAACGCCAAGTTGCAAACCGTGAAAAAAAAGTATGTGTGAGATTTGATGGTGTATGGTGATTGCGATCTGCTGAAGGTCTGACTTGAATTTATCATGGTCCAGGACGGATGGCCAGCTTTATAGCCGACGGAACGAGCGCGACAGTCTTGGAGCGAGAATCCTCGGGAGACAACTTCTCGAGAAGTGCCTTGACTGAATCAAGCTGTCCATATTAATAGAATACCGTGTGTATTAATACCGTTGGTTCAGAACCTGCAGAGCACAGGGTCGTTCACGTTGGGCGCTTAACTGTGACATGCTTTTGACCACCAACGGCGAGATGCCGACCCTTGGCTTGGTCGGCGTGATGAGTGAGTTCTCTTACTAGATCTCGCCGCTCCGAGTTATACGATGACCCGATATGCTACCTAGTTTATGGTCATGACCGTGAATTCTAGCTCCCAGAAGCCATATGGAAACTGATACGCCAAGCACTTGCCATACTGTGAGAAGGATGCAAGAGGAGAGCGCAGCCTCCAGGCAACTGTGGTGTCGCGGAAGGAGGAGGCTGACGTACGTAGCCCGATTTGAAGTGGCATAAATTGGTTGGTTCGGGGGTTGACCACAATGATTCCGCCTTGGCCAACATCAGGCAACAGCAGGCAGACGTAGATAGAGAGGAGGAACGCATTTGGGAAGCTGAGGAGTATCGCCTTTCAAGGTAATTGGGAGGTATAGGGCGTTACGCCCGGAGATGGGCCACGCGCGGCCTGGAGGCCCGCGTGTGATCAAACAAACCCCTGCCCTAGCCCCAGGAGGTAGTGTAGGTCGCAGAATGGGCCGGCTGCATGAACCACCCCGAGTAGAATATTCACCGTTGAAGCGTCGAGAGAATTCGCGTTTAATTCCCTTGATTATACTTGCAGTATGGATTATCTAGGCAGCGTATACTTTCGTGCTCTATAGATGAACCCTTGAATCACTTTTCATTATAATTTATATATAAGTTTAGGTTTATACTTTTCACTTTTTAATTAATTATACTTACTATACTCCGTATTTTAAATCTTATACTATTAATAACTATTTTTTATACTATTCATTTAAAATTTTAATATTAATTAACTCTTACCCTTTTTTATCTTAATATTCTCTCTTAATAACAAGTAAAGCTAAATAGCTTAGCCAAAGCATACACAATCGCAGCACATGAAATAGAATACAAGCTGCCGCATTGCCACGTTTGGGCCCATGACGATGAGCGAGCCGCAAAGGCCAAAGCCGTCTTCGATTCGGAATTACATCGCAGCAGCTATAGCACAGTATCCCCGGCGCAGTAGAAAGACTACCAACAGCATCCGTGCCCACTTGAACTCCGAGCCCAAATGGAACATCGTCAATGGACAAACAAATTATTTCAGTAGTTACTTCTTGTTTGTTCTGTCCGAGTGCCCCCATTAGTCGGTTGATAGGTACACGTGCCCGGGCAGCCCCGCCTGATGAACCGTGTCTTTGATTCCTCAGGCACCTGAAGCTGTCACAACAGTGAACTCGATCTTGACTTCATTCCAAGATAAAGTACGCTGATGGCTTGACAGTGCCCGGAACCGGCTACAGCCCCCGACACCAAAAGAATCAAAACCGCTCATAATCAGTCAACAGAGCCTGGTGTTGAATCCCAAGCCGCGCCACGGGTGGTTCCTTTTCCCGACAGGGTATGTTCAAAATCTCAGACTTGCAAAGAAACGGTCTAACCACATTCTAGCCTGCCGTCTTGGAACAACGAAACGGCGAGATTGAATTTCGCGTCGTCAACAACGACGGCACTAGAGAGAGCGTCGTTGTGCCAACTGGTCTAAAATGCTTATTTCAGAAGCAGCTTCCGAAAATGCCCAAGGACTACATCGCGCGCCTTGTCTACGACCGAACTCACCTATCCATAGCAATCATCAAAAAGCCACTCGAGGTCATTGGCGGGATATCATACCGGCCGTTTAAAAGCCGCAAATTGGCCGAGATTGTCTTTTGCGCCGTCTCATCCGACCAGCGGGTGAAAGGGTAGGGGCGCACCTCATGGCCCATTTAAAGGACTATGTTAGAGCCACGTACCCGGTTATGCATTTTATTAACATACGCCGATAATTACGCCACTGGGTATTTCCAGAAGTAGGGCTTCACCGAGGAGATTACTCTCGACAAGGCGCTTCGGATGGGGTACATCAAGGACTACGAAGGAGGGACGCTTATGCAGTGCTCCATGCTCCCCCGGATACGGTACCTCGAGGTGGGCCGTGTGCTTCTCAAGCAGAAGGAGGTTGTGCAGGCCAAGATTCGGATGATTAGCAAGAGTCATGTGGCTCACCGGCCGCCGCCGCAATGGGCCAGCGGTATAAGCCCGGTTGACCCCCTTTCTATCCCTGCTATCCGGGCGACGGGTTGGTGTCCGGACATGGACGCGTTGGCGAGGGAGCCGGGCCATGAACCGCATTTTGATGAATTGCGGCGGGTTTTGTATCAGGTACAAAAGAGGACGAAGTGCCTGACTATTGTAATGTTATTGAAACGCCGATGGACTTGTCGACCATGGAAGAGAGACTTGTGCGTGATTCTTACCATGCCCCACGGGATTTTTTCAACGATCTTAAGCTTGTGTTTAGCAACTGCCGGCGGTATAATGACGCAACGACCGTGTATAATAAGTGCGCGGTTAGGCTGGAGAAGTATATGTGGAGTCTAATTAAAGAGGTTCCCGAATGGTTTGACCTACTTGAGGAGTAATTGGGTATCTGTTTTCCATCCCGTCTCGGGAGGATTTTTCTATTTCTCGTTGGGAAAAGGGCTCGGCATGGTTGAACTTTCCGTGTTGCGTCGTCTGATATTGGGATGGATGAATAGGAATTATTGCGGGACAAACGGTACGATAAGAAGAAGTTTTACCACCCGAATCCCAGCATCCAAAAGTCTCTACCTCTGCCAGTTTCCTGAGCTTGCGCCGCATCAACCTGAGTAGCTCGCCAGATGTGGCCGACTTCAGACGCACTACGAGGGCATATACGGGGAATAAAGTTTCCCAGGGAACCTGCCTTGTCATATCAGCTGCCGTCTACGACCTATTCCTAACGCTGTGGCTAACTGTTGTGACTGAGCGTCGTGACATGCACACTATCAAGTTTATCCCTTGAGAATCCCGGTATGAAGGGCCAAAAGGGCACACTTATTTCTCTCGTACCGACTAATCTATTTTCTCTATAAACATGAACTCAAAATGTACCTAGCTTTAGAACCAACATGGCAAGAACAGCTTAGATGATCCAAACCTAGTTTGAACCCTAACCTACTCTCATTCTGAAGCCAATATCCCCACCCTTTGCAACAGCCGTTTTATTGTCCGAGTGTCGAGGCCTCCGTGCCGAATTTGGTGGCAGTAACGCCCCTGTCCACTATCGCCGCTTTTTCCTACACGTACAGAATAGTTGTTGGATTCGAAGCGCAATCCGGCATCAAATACTTTCATTCATGGCAGACAATGATAGCACAATTCTTGCACCTTGTCTCCGGGCGCGGCCTGCGTACCATGTTGCATATACTTCTAGTGTTACCAGTCCAAAGGAGCAACTGCCTTCTTATTCCTGGGACCCCGCTTCAGACGCCTCGCCCTGTTCCTCCATCTTCTCCTTCTCTCTCGTCTCAATAGTCGTCTGCTTCTCCCACATGGCGTGGTACTTTCCTCGGAGCGCCAGTAGCTCCTCATGAGTGCCGCGCTCGACGACCTTGCCCTTGTCAAGAACAACAATCTGGTCAGAGTTGGTAATGGTAGAAAGGCGATGTCTGTGGTAGAGAGAAAAATTATTAGCTCCCGTCTAAGCAAAGTGATACAGGTGGCTTACGCAATGGTTATTGTGGTTCGCCCGGACGTGACGCGCTCGAGAGCATCCTGGATCTCTCTCTCAGTATTGGAGTCCAGCGACGCAGTAGCCTCGTCTAGGAGCAAAATAGGCGCATCTTTAAGAATCGCGCGTGCAATGGCAATCTAAGAGATGCATTTTTTGTCAGCCAACTAGAAACGAGGTGAGTCGTGCAAGGGAGGAGTAGGAGATCTTACGCGCTGGCGTTCTCCGCCGGACAGTTTGAGACCACGCTCTCCAACCTTGGTTTCGTATCCGTCGGGGAAGTTGAGGATGCTATCATGGATATTGGCGGCCTTGCATGCTTCGTGGACATCGGCCTCGGTGGCATTTGGAGAGGCGTACAATAAGTTGTACATGATTGTCGCGTTAAACAGCACAGTATCCTGCGGCACAACGCCAATGTTTCTGCGGAGAGAGTCAGTCTTGAGATCCCTCAGATCGTGGCCATCAACAGTGATGGCGCCGCCGGTGACATCGTAAAAACGGAATAGAAGTTTCAAGCAGGTTGATTTGCCGCCGCCAGACGCCCCAACGAGGGCCGTCTTGGTACCTGGGGCAACGGTGAAACTGACACCGTCGAGAACGGGCTCCCCTTTCTTCACTGGATACGAAAACTTGACATCCTTAAAGGCAACTTCTCCTCTTGCGGCAGATAGAGCGACGGCGTCTGGCTTTTCCACAATGCCCGACGTTTCTTTGAACTATGGCATGTCAGAAGCGGAGAATTGAATTGGATGTTAGGCGATGACTGGGATGATGACTAACTAGGTCAAGGAGCCGCTCGGCCTCAATGAGATTGTTTTGAAGCATGGTGTAGTACGTGCCAAAGAAGTTGAGAGGCCCCTGAAGCTGGACAAAATAGTTGATCAAGCTGACAAACCCACCGACCGTCTGCTCGCCAATTGAGATTTTGTATGCCGACACGGCGACCAGAAGCGCGGTGCCGAGGGTGAATATGGAACTCTGGACGATGTTGAGACCGTTGAGCGACCACTGCACCAAGCGCTCGGCCCGTTGGAAAACGAGCACATGGTCCTTGAATCTTTGGGTTTCGCGAGGGATGGCGCAGTTATGCTGTACTGTCTCGTAGGCAATAATGGCATCGGTCCTGATGGCTTCCATTTCGCGCGTCTTGGTGGTCATGTCTCTTCTTTGCCTGGCACGATATTTGACTAGGTAAAGGGTGAGAAAGATGTAAGACCACATGATGAAGAAGACGATGACTGTGTAAAAGGCGTCATATTTGACAAAAAAGACGACGCCTGCAAAAAATATGTCAAAGATCATGGGAAACACCTGAAAGCAAAAAACCTCGAGAAAGGTGTTGGTGGCCGCGCCGCGGCTGAGCGCGCTGGTGACCTCGCCGACCTTTTTGTTCAGGTGGAACTCCAAGGACAAGCCAAGTACGTGTTCAAATGCCGCGGTTGATAGTCGACGAAAGAGAGACTGGGACACGGGGATCCAGAGGACGGACCGCAGGGCACCGATGGCTCCTTGGTTTCCCTGCAGATAGCGGTAGGCGACGAAAAGGATAATATCCTTGTAGGGTATGCCGCCTCTGCCGAGGGCGTCGACAAGGTTTCCCAACTGCAATGGAGCCAGGACGTTGACGATGCGCTGGCATATCAACAAGCAAATACACACAACAACGACGGCTTGGTAGAGTACGGAATCCCTGGGCCTGGTGGGAGTTAGCTTGAGTTTGATACAACGATGCTGATTCAACGACGGGCGTACCAGAGATACGGAAACAGGACTCGGAAACTGGCCACGTAAGTGAGCCAGCTCATGCCGGCCGTCTGTGGCGTTTTGGTCGCATCTGACGCGGGCTTGGAAACTGGGACCGTGGCATAATTGCCGGACGATCCGCTGCCATTCTCCAGTAGGGACTGGCGTTCCTCTGGCAGAGATTTCGGCCCTGATGGTCTCAGCTGATATTCTCTGAAGATGAGAACTGCCGCCATTAGGACAAAGACTGCGACTCTGGACGCCCCTAGAGCATTCAATGCATCGACAAAGGTCTTGGACACAGCCAAAGATGTCTGTGCAGAAGATAGGACGGCAGCAACGACGACCTCCATCAAGGCGCCGGTGATCCAGGCCGAGCAATGCGCAGCAGTTGGGTTCCAGGGCCCTTGTGGATCGGGAAGCATTCCGGCCAGGAAGTAAAGCAGAACAGCGACGTAGGAGGCCTATGGTTCACGTTAACCAGCCATTGGGGCATGCGCATCTCGTGCGAGCACTCACCAGATATGCGCTGAAAGGAAACGCGGTCGTACCGGGAGCCTCCCCATGGTCAGCAAGCGCATCTTTCGCTGCCAAAGAGATGCTGGCAAGCAACAAGGCAGATTGCACAAGCTGGAGGCTCCATATCAGCCAGGCACATGTGTGTCGAGTGCGCTCCGACCGCTTTGGCTCATGGTCGGATGGGCTGGGATTCGCGATGAGTGCCGCCTCTCGACGCCAATTGAGGTAGAACAAAAGACATTGCGCTCCAATCAAGGTGAGGATGAGGAGGGACGGATAAAGGTAGAACAGTGTCTGCAGCGCCAGATCCGCTCTCGCCATTGATGCGACGAAGACGAGCTATCGCGGGATGAGAATTTGGCAGCAGCATTAGGTCATCTATAACCATCAATGATGTCGGTTGCGACTGGAGTGACTAATCAGAGCTGTCAATGTTTTGGCAGGGGCCCACCAGTGACTGACATGTGATGCACCCACATCCCCTGTAATAGAGCCTCGGGTTAGGGTTATATCTTGGTATTTCTAGATATGTATATCAAGTTATCAAGTTAATTCTTTTATAACCAGGTTACGGCCAGATACAGTGCTACTAGATGCCCTCCATCTAGCCCGTTTTTTTTTTATTTTTCTTACATAACTTACAAAGTTAATGACCAGGTTAAAGTATATCTTTTAGTTATGTATATTTCTTTGATAGCGCTTATTAGAATTTAGGAATCTCTGGAAGTTTCATTTCCAACACTCTACCCATACCAAGTATCTTGGGCTATGTTGTATAAGTATAAAACCGATGGGGCCTCCCATATTGCAAGCGTTTGTCACACTCGTCTTTAAAGTTAGCTTTAACAGGCCTCGCGGGCGTCTCCTCGTATTCACAATGGCACACAGTTTCAAAACGACGGCTAAGCAAAGAAAGGTCTAGAGACATGATTGGCACTGAGAGACGCGTCATAAGTTGAAGCGAATTTGTCTACCAGAATGCAGTATTTCAATCACGCACTTGATATACTCTTCCTCTGCAACATGTCCCGCATTACACAACGTCTTTAGTTTCTTGGTCGTCTTTTTTACATTGTCAAGGCATTTCCGAAAGTTATTATACCGCGGATTCGATTCAATAGCGAGCGAGAAAATACTTCGTGCATGTTCTAGAATCGCAGAGGAAACATATTAATATACGTGTGAGAATAGTATTTGCCAACCTCTAGAGGAGGTCTACAGCGTGTATGTAAAACTCAGCAAGGGTCCGCTTCTGTCACACTGTTACACGAGGGCTACGATCACGGGACTAGGGCATAAGGTACTCCCCCATTTCTTGTATAAGTAGAGATCTTTGGTCATGTCGGCCTTGAGGAAACCAAGGACCTTCAAGACCAAAGACTGTTGCTAGATGAATTGAGCTATTTCTCTAAGCCCTTACTGAGCCCTTGTCACAATTCCCATCAAAGCCAGTACCACCTCCTTACAGATCGAAATGACCCCGACACCAGAGGTACTTCCCCAAGGGGCTGCCAGACGAACCGCTCCCCCTGTTTTAGCCAAACATATATGATTATCCCAGGTTGGCAAGACGGTCAGAATCGATCTCACGCTGCGTTGGATATTCCAAAGTTTGCGTTTCTG